AATATAATGCATTTCCTTATTTTAAAGCCAGAAGAGTTTGAATTTTCTGTTATTGCAACGGAAGGCATACCAGAAAACTTAAGTGGGTTCTGGATCAGGGCATTGGCTCAGTGAGGGAGAATGGAAAGGAGACAGATGAATCAAATGGTAGAAAGAGAGACTTCCCATGCTGTCCTAGTTGCTGGACACAGCAGTACTGATCACTACCCTAAAGTTGTTAATAGCCTTGCTGGAGAGAAAGAATAAAGATTTAGAAAGCTACAGAAAAGACACTGGAACAAAACTAACTTTAATACAATCATACTAGTGGCCTGGTGCATGAAATTTGTGCAATTAAAAAGGGATTAATTAGAGGATATATTTTAATATTGCTATTTGCCCTTTCTCTATAATAAAAGTGTCAGAGATGAGAGAAAATTAGTAAAATGTATATGAACATCTTCCTCTTGTCAGAGTCTGAGGCATGCCACGGAACAGAGTCAAGTCCCCACCTACCTGCGGCACCTCAAAATTACAGGAGACCCAGACCCTGCTGACCCCACCCCATTGGGTGAGATCCAGACCCAGCTGGCCCCACCCTTGTGGGGGGGCACAGCCTCAGGGCCCGTGACAAGCCCTGCAGGTTTGGGGGGCGCAGCCTCAGGTTCCCGTAAGGCCCCGCTGGGTGAGGGGTGCAACCTTAGGTCCACTGTCAAACCCTGCCTGGCCAGGAGGCACAGCCTCAGGTCCCCCGGACCAGCACCCGGCAGGGGGTGCGGCCTTGGGACCCCCAGCACACCCTTAGGTCCCCTGGTTTGGCGCCAGGGCAGGGGGTGCTGCTTGAGGTCCCTTGGCCTGGCGCCAGAGTGGGTGGCACAACCTGAAGTCCCACAGCTTGGGCCGGGGTGAGGGGTGTGCTTTTGAGGGCCCCTGTCAAGCTCTGCCGGGTGGAGGACATGGTCTGAAATCCCCTGTCTAGCCCCACCGGGCAGGGAGCATGGTCTGAGGTCCTCCATTAAGCCCTGATGGGTGGGGGCCTTGGTCTGAGGTCCCCCATCAAGCCCCACCTGCTGAGGGGCCTAGGCTCAGGTCCCCCAGCCCCGGGGTGGGGGAATGCGGCCTGAGATCCCCCAGCCCAGGGCGGGGAGTGCACCTTGAGGTCCCCCATCAAGCCCTGCCCCTGCCTCCACCTCAGAAAAAGAGATTAGAAATCATGCCTTTCCCTTCTTTATGCCCCAAGGAAATAGCAACTATTGCAGAGAATTTGAGGGGCAAAGAGGGAAGGACTGGAAAAGACTAGAGAGTAGGAGAATGGAAGGATACCAACAATAATAGTATTTATACACTTATTTATCTTAGTAAGGGGAAAAAAGGTAATACACTTTGCCTGATATACTAAATTCTAGATATCAATGAGATAGCCAAGTGGATATGTCCCACAACAAACAATATATGGGAATCATTCAATTCAACAAACTATTAGTGAGTCATTCATTCACTTAACAGACACTTAATTGAACACCTAATATGTGAAAGATATCTGTTTTGTTATCTGTAAGCTAGAAGGAACATTTTTGAACCACAAGATATATAAATTTGGAGGGAAATACCTGGAAAATGCTTGAAAGACTTTGGAAAAGACAGAGGTAAAACCAGTTGTTTGTCCTCAAGGAGCTCTGGGTCTGGTGTGGGAAGAAATGAACAAAAACACTAGTGGGTATAATTCTAGGTAGTTTATGGTAAGTTTCATAATTTCAGTAGAAATCTTATTTAATAAAGAGGGAATATGCTAATTGACTGCCACACCCTCAAAGATGGTGGCTCCCACAGTCACAAGATGGCAGCGCCCAGTACCCCAGCCCGCCAGCCACCCAGGGCTGGCCCAAGATACAGGCAAGCCTCCGATGGTGGCTGCCCAGTCGCCCAGAGCCAATCCAAGGTTCAGGTAACCAGGGCTGGCAAAGGCATGTCAGCAGATGTGTGATGGGGCGTTGCCTTCCCCTGATCGCCTGGTCGCCACCTGTCCCTGAGGGCTCCTGGACTATGAGAGGGGGCAGGCTGGGCTGAGGAATCCCCCCTCCAGTGCATGAATTTTCATGTGCCAGGCCTCTAGTAAAATATAATACGAATATGAGATTAATTTTGATTATAGAGAGATCTGTATGTTGGTGCCTCATATGTCAATATAATTATTCATAACTTCTAAGTTAAATCTTGAGAGTGGATGTTGAGAGGGGGAGATAGATGAGAGGGCGTGGCAAAAGGGGAAGAGAGAAGAGGGGGAGGAGATTAGAAAAGGGGAGTGGAGGCTTTCGGAATAAGCCTTGGGGAAGGGTCCCACTTGGGGAAAGGAGGACAATAAGGAACCAGGGAAGGAGTCTGAAAGAATATCCACAGGAACAGGAGAACCAGAGTAATCCCTAAATCACAGTTACAAAAGTGAGGAAGAGCTTTGTAGAAGAGAGCAAGTCTGGACATCAGCATTGCATAAGGCACAAATAATTTCTTCTGGCCTCTGTAGCTTTAGCAGAAGCTGATTGGGGAACTTTGGAAGAGATCTTTTCCTGAAGTAGCCACTGGATGGTAGTGGCGGCAGCAGTGGCAGCTGTAGCTGTTTCCAGTAGAAACCTAGCAGAGTTAAGCCAGCTTGAAGCAGTGGGAACCAGGAGCTGGCTTAGTCTAGGGCTTTCCTAGTGTAGCTGATATTGGACTGACCCTTTGGGTCTATGCCATGCCTCAAATCACACTTGTCCACTGAAGTGGCCACCTCCATCCCTGGGAGCAAAGTAATGATACAAAATACTTTATGGATTAAGCAGCATTTTATGGTTTACAAAGTGCTTTCACACCTATTAACCAATTCAATATTCAGGAAACCCTAAATGGTTGGTATTATTATCCCCATTTCACTGGTGAGGACACTGAGTTAAAAGTGGTGTTCAGGGTCACACAACTCAAACAAGGAAGAACAAGAATTTGAATTCAACTCCATCTGGCTCCAAACACCTGATGCAGTATCACCATCTTCTATGTATCAAAGCTGTCAGCTGTTCAGGACTCAGGCTATAACTGCTTCCTCCATGCCTACCTTTTATTTGCCCCATACTGTGACACAGAGCAAAGAACTCCACATTTCCCCCATCCAGGTTTTCGGGCCTTCCAGGAGTTCTGAATTCTATATTCTAGAGTCTCTCTTGTAGGCCTGCCTCCTCCTCTCACTTGTAGGATCCAGCTGGGCAGCATTCTTAGGACTTGAAGATCAGGTTCAGAGTCCCCATTGTTTGCCAGTTCCCTTCAGAGTAGATCCTGCTCTAGCCTGCTCCCTTTCCCCAAGCACTACCCACTTTATCCTCAAAGGCCTACAGGCCCAGAGCTTGCCTCCTGTGCTTAAGACCTCCATAATCACTAAAACTGTAGATAGCCCCAAGAGCCCTGGGGTCCAGAACTCCTGACAATTAGGCATTCCTGGACACATGACTCTCAAACATTTAGGCTTTATCTGCTATATTTAGACCAGTATTGCCTGTAGTGATAGAGAGAGATGAGTTGATGTGTAGAAAGGGATGGAATCTGTAAGGGAGTTGGCTAGCATACGTGGAGAAGAGAAAACTGCCTCCTGGCCATCTCCTCTGACATAAAGTAATAAACATCTTGAAATATTGACAGGCTGAACATTGAACTCCCGATCCTTCCTCTTATAGTCGTCAATAACTCCATCTCTGTCAACATTAACTCATTCTTCCAGTTGCTCAGGCCAGAAATCTTGTAGTCATTCTTGACTCATCATCCCTTTTTTCACACACCCCACATCAGGAAATCTGGTATCTACTTTGAAAATCTCGCCATAATCTGACCACTTCACACCACTTTCACCAGCCTGGTCCACCATCATCTCTATTGGAAACAGCCTTGGAATTATTCTGCTTCCTGTGTCCCCAGCCCTGCAATCTATTCTCAACCTGGAGCTAGCCAGTGATTCTTCTGAAGTGTACATCAGTTTTCTCTTCTAAGCCCTACATGGCTTCCTATTCACTGAAAGTAAATGCCAAGAAGTCCTCACAATGGCTTCCAAGGACCTTCTAGATCTGGCCCCTGCCAAAGTCTCTGTCCTCATTTCTATGTTTCCTCTTCCTCACAACTTTTTATTCAAAAGTCACCTTAATATTTAAAACAGCAATCCTCTCTTCCTTCAGCATTCCCCTTTCCTCCTTTATTTTTTCTCTATAATAATGATCAAAATCTATTTTTACTTTGTTAATTTTATCTTTTCTCTTCCGCTAGTGTGTAAGCTTCATTAAAGTAGGAGTTTTTGTCTGTTCTGTTTACTAGAGTTGGGCCAAGTACATAGTTATCTCTCAGGATATATTTGCTTATCCATCAGTGGTTTATGGCCAGTGACTTAGAGAAGTGACTAAGCATAGTAATTAAGTACATGGATGCTAGAGCTTGGTTCAAGGGAAGGCCTGCTTGGGTTCAAATCTTAGTTCTATCACTAATTAACAAAATACTTAAACTCTCTGTGCCTTAGTTTTCTCATCAGCAAAATAGGAACAATAATATTACCCACTTCAATAGAGATCCTGGGGGCCATTAATAAGTGTAAAGCACTTAGTGCCTTGCACAGAGAAGGTGCTACATAAGCATTTGCTATAATCATATGTACATGGAGTTAAGATTTATATGAGAAGCTTAGATTTTATAAAATCTTTCAGTGTGTTATCTTGTAGTTGCCCATGTTAACATTTATTTCTCCTGTTCCTTCTCACACAGATTTTATGATCATCTTGTAGTTTTATTTAACTCAAGTAGCCTGGCTCTTTATCTGTTAACTTAGACGTTTCCTTGTGTACTCTCTCCCACAGTCATTTAGAAGCTGTTAAATAGTAATCTCGCTGGGCCTCTTTTGCAATCTATACAATGAGTGGGTTGGACTAGATAATCTTGATGGGCCCTTCTGGCTCTGACAGCCGCCCAGGACAGGAAGAGGGACAGGCCCCACCCCAACCCCGCCCCCAGGAATAGGCCCTCTGCCTGCTGAGGAGGAGGGTGACAGAGTCAGCTGGGCTCAGCTTCAAGGGGACAAGGTAGGAGACCTGCCAAATTTCTTGGGTAAGAGTGGTGATGGGGTTCCTGGGCTGGAGCAGGCATCAGAAGTAACTGTAGTACAAAGATTCTGGGAGCAGGGTGAGAGGAGAGGTGAAGTTCCCTAAAGGAGAGATGTTCTCTTCACAGGGACACAGCTGCTGTGATAGCTAGGAGGTAATTTGAGAGGTTGGGCATCTTCTCACGTTAGAGAGTCCTAGTAGGCCTCTACTCCCTTCAGCTAGCCAAGATCTGGAAGACAGAGTCAGCCCTAGAATAAGAATAACCAAAAAAAAAAATAAAATACTGACTGTCTTCCCAGCACTGCCTGCTACTCACCACTCCCCTGGCTGAACCAAGGGAATTTGGCCAGGGGCACAGCTGGCCTGGGTTACACCCAGATTTACTCCTCTCAGCTCAGCTCCTACTAATGCTTCAACCATTGCCCTCCCTGTTCTCCCCCCACCCCACCCCCCTGATCAGGACTGGGGGTAGGAGGGACAGGGAAGTCCAGTACCCTCACTTCTGCCTTTTTCACCTCTAGGAGGGACCATGGCCAGTGCAGAATCCTCACTGCTCACAACCCCAGGGCCCAACTCAGATCCTGGCAACAGTGAGGTGGAGCTGGACTGCTGGTTTGATGAAGAGTTCAAGTTCATCCTGCTGCCTGTGAGCTACGCAATTGTCTTCGTGCTGGGTCTAGTCCTCAATGCTCCAACTCTCTGGCTCTTCCTCTTTCACCTCCGACCCTGGGATGCAACGACCACCTACATGTTCCACTTGGCTTTGTCAGACACTTTGTATGTGCTGTCACTGCCCACCCTCGTCTACTATTATGCAGCCAGAAACCACTGGCCCTTTGGCACTGAGCTCTGCAAGTTCATCCGCTTCCTCTTCTACTGGAACCTCTACTGCAGTGTCCTTTTCCTCACCTGCATCAGTGTGCACCGCTACCTTGGAATCTGCCACCCCCTGAGAGCAATACGTTGGGGCCGCCCAAGACTTGCAGGCCTTCTCTGCCTGGCAGTTTGGTTGGTTGTAGCCAGCTGTCTTGTACCCAATCTGTTCTTTGTCACAACCAGCTCCAGGGGGGATACCATCCTGTGCCATGACACCACTCGGCCTGAGGAGTTTGACCATTATGTCCACTTCAGCTCAATAATCATGGTGCTGCTCTTTGGCATACCCTGCGTGGTCACTCTTGTCTGCTATGGGCTCATGGCCCGGCGCCTGTATCGGCCTTTGCCAGGGGCTGCCCAGTCATCTTCTCGTCTGCGTTCTCTCCGCACCATTGCAGTGGTTCTGACTGTCTTTGCTGTATGCTTTGTGCCTTTCCACATCACCCGCACCATTTATTACATGGCAAGGCTGTTGGAAGCTGATTGCCAGGTGCTGAACATTGTCAATGTGGTATACAAAGTGACCCGGCCTCTGGCCAGCGCCAATAGCTGCCTGGATCCTGTGCTCTACTTGCTCACTGGGGACAAGTATCGTAGGCAGCTCTGGAGGCTCTGTAGTGGTGGTACCTCCCAGCCCCCCAGGGCTGCCTCCTCCCTGGCACTAGTGTCCCTGCCTGAGAGTAGCAGCTACAGGAGGACAACAGCTTCCAGGACAGTGGCTGCGCTACCCCTAGGGCAGAAAAATTGTAGCACTGGAAGCCTGGAAGGAAGAGAAAAGGGGGTGAGTGCAGGGCAGAGGTGAGGGATCCTCATGGTGACAACTCAAATTGTTGCCTCCTCTTCATTCCCAGGTTCTGGTGAGAGACCCTCCCTCTGAGGGTTAGGGGGAGCCAGGAAAATCATGTGTGATCCCCATCTCTCATAAATCCTTCAGTTGTCCTCTACTTTTTAGCCAAAGGCAGTAGCAGCCACTCTTTCTCCTCTACATCTTCCTCTAAGTTTCCTTGGGCCATTGGTCCTGTTTCTTGATCCTAGGAGACTTCCTGGAACCCTTCCCCAGCTTTCCTTTCTCCCACATCCTTGTATAGCATGCTTTACTCCAGTCAGACCAGAGCATTCAAGTGGAAGAGTGGAGAAGCTGGAGTAATCTCAGGGTTGGCCTGATTTATCTGACAGTGACAGCCAGAACCAGGAGGTAGGGGCACTAGCATGTCACAAATGCCAAGGATCTGACATATGTAGCTCCCATAACCACTTCCTGGTTTCCCTGTGAGGACAAGATAGTCTGGCCTACTTAGATGCTGAAATAGGGCACAATCCAAGACAGCCTGCAGGGTCTCCACATGCAGCTGGAGGCATGGCACTGTTGAACTGGTGTGTAGCTGTAGGTAGAGAGGGAACCCTGAGTCTTACCATGGGCTGGGAATTTTGAAGAGCTTCGAGGGCAGGGCCCAATCTGATAAAAGACTTTGGAACAGGAATGTGACAGGACCTCCTTTATGAAGTTTGCTGAGAGCATATTTGACACTTCTGTATGTAATGAAAGGAGGAGGGGAATGGCTCAGAATGGGAGGGAAGATCTTTCATGTCTATGGCTGTAAGTTCCAGCATCAAGGGTAGAGCAGGTTTGTGCAGAGGTTGGGGGTGGTGACAGGGATTGACGTCAGTGTTCACTGGTTTCTTCCATTTCTCTAGCTCCTGCCCTAGATAAAAAATAAACCTGTCACCAGTTATTTCAGATCAGGATTTAGTGTTTTGAGGCCAGAGAAGGGCACTGGACCAGGACAGCTCCCCCTCAGAGTCTCCCATTTAGTCACCCACCCTCTCCCAGCTGCGTCTTAGTGCTTAAGGGCTTATGGATATGGGGCGGGGGGAGGTTATGGAACTTGGGGAGCTAATTCCCAAGCATTGGGAAGTAAGAGTTTCTGGGCAGGCTTTCATGAGAAGGGTGGAATCACATTTCTAGGAAACCCCTTCTGAAATGGCCTTCCAGCCCATTGGTCTCCTGAGTCTTCAGCTTTCCTTTTCTTTTGCCCCACCCTTGCTGACCTGCCTCTGATCTTCACTTATCTATTAGCTTACTCAGTCTTACTAGTTCTCTCTGGAAAGGAAGGTTGGGACTGGTCTGGAGAAATAAAATGACTTCAATGCCCCCGAGTTCCCTTTTCCATTCCTTTTAAGTGTGCTCTTTTCCTCCCTAGATATCCAGGACCCTGCTGCTACCTGAGACCCTTTCTTTTAGGAGTAAATGAACTGGCCTTCTTACTAGTCTCCCAGTCTCATAGCCACTGCCTAAACTGTTACACAACCTGCTCCTCATCTGTACTCACTTCCTTTTATCCCTATGACCACAGCCTCCTTGTCCATTACCTCTCCTACCCACAATCTCCACCCATGAAAGCTGCTCTTTCCATTATAACAGACCCAGCCTCCTCCATTTCACCATTTCATTTAACTCCCATATGCTTAATTGAGACTAAATCCCCAGACTTTGTGGTCTGCTAGTTTAAGACTACCTTTCCTCTTACTCCAACCTTAGTTAAATATCTTGATTTTCACCGTGTGCCAACCTTCTCCTCTCTCCTAGACTGTAGGATACTGCATATGAAGCCAGAACACAAGTATGGCTTAACCCACTAAAACTTTTTGTCTTGGAATTTCATCTAAACCTCCATCCTTTTTAGTCTGCTGAGTTCCTAATGAACATTCCAGAGAGATTGTTTCCTATCTTTCCCACTTTCTCAAGACACCAATTTCATCCTACCCTATGATCTCTTAAGATTTACTTGCCTCCTGGGCCATTGGTTCTGTTTCTTGAGGCTTCCTAGAATTGAGAAACTAATACCTCAACTTCTTTCTGCTTCATTTAGGATAACTCTAGTTCTATATCCATCCCATCTTTCTCCCTTTCTTCCCTGAAGTCTCAGAATAAGAGATGGCCTCTTGTTTTTTTCTTTTGTGTATATCTTTCTTCATCATTTTTCATTTCTTCCATAACTAATTTTGTTCTGTCTTAAAATACACAAACACACACACACCAAAAGGCAACCAAATGAAAATAAAGCATTACCACTGACATCTTAATTCTGCCGTCTCTTCTAGCTATCATTCTATTTATCTTATTCATTTCACTGTCATTTCTAGAAAGAGTACCATAAAGCTTGTTTCCTCACCACAAAGTCACCTCTTAACTCTCTTAATTTGGTTTCCTTTCTATACTTTTTTTTTTTGTATCTAGAACACAAATTACCTTATAAGATCTTTAATGATCTTTTTTTCTACCATTATTGTTTTTGACTTCTCTATGATGTCCTTTTGCATATTCCCTTTAAATTTTTTTGTGTATTTTATTTTTAAAATTTATCTTTATTGCTGAAAGTATTACAGATGTCCTCTTTTCCCTCCTATTGATTCCCTCCACCTCACTCCCTCCCCCCCCCCCCAGGCCTTCACCGCACTATTGTCTGAATCCATGGGTTATGCACATGTAAATTCTCTGGTTAATCTCTTCCTGCATAAAAACAGCACTAAAAATTCCACTATGACAACATCAAAGGAAATTTTTAAAGAAAATAATCACCTGTATTTTGAAGCTCTCAACAATTGCTTTCATTTTTTCATGTCCATGCTTTTTCAGTTTGTATAATACATACATATTTTATATAAGTATAATCATAGTGGACATATTTTTTGAAATTCTGCAAAAATATTTTATTGTAAATAGTCTCTTTATGCTGCAGTCTTTCCTGTTCATCATTTTCAATGACTGCATAAAATTGTACCTATCAGTAGATTATACTTTATTAGACTATTCCCCTATTATTGGACATTTAGGTGACTCTCAATTTTTCTGTGCTTTGAATATCTTAATGCATATGGCTTTTTTCTTCTTTGTAATTCTATTCCTAGGACAAGTTCCCAGGAGTGGAACTGCCAGATCCAAGAACATGAACATTTTCAAAAGGACTGCACAAATCTGCAACACCACAATGATACATGAGTTTTTCCAGTTTTCTTACAGCTCTAGCATTGGACTTGATAATAAATCTTTTGGAGTGATTTAAACATTAATTTGTTAATTTCACTGCTTTGGCTACTCATGGGATTGAACACTTTCCCATGTGTTTACCATTTGCATTTCCTCTTGTGTTAACTATTTGTTCACATCCTTCTTCAATGGGCATTTTAGTGGTATTCTTGTGTATCTAAATATATTCTTTAACATACATATTAACCCTTATCATATTTGAGATATATAATTTCTTCCATTTATTGTAGTACTTTTAATTTTAGTTTCTTATTTTATCCCCCTGGTTTAAAATTTATCTACTTCTACTTTTATCTCTCTCATTACTTCCTCTCTCTTTGCTGGATTCTCTTTATCCTTTACTCCCTAAAGTGGACAAAATTACAAGCTCTGTCATAGTAATAGCATTTGGGGATTATTTAACCCCACCCCCTATCAGATCCTTGATTTTTTTTTTTTGGAGAAAAAAAAAATATATATATATATACACACACAGGAATACAACTTAATTGACTCATAATCCTTGAATACTGTAAAAATCTTTCAGGGCCTGAGCACTCCCTCATTTTAAAGAGGACAAAACAGGCCCATAGATATGACTTGCCAGTGACTTATCAAATTAGTGGCAGAGCAGGGACTAAGTTTCAGGTTTCCTGATTCCCAGAGATCCTTCCATAAGCTTGAAAACTTTCAGGCAACTTAATCTGTTCTCCCTGTTCCATGAGATTCTGGAATTTCTTTCTTCATCATGTCAATTACAATTTTATTATCTCAGCGCTATCATTCTAATATTGGCTCTTGTCACTTTATCCTTGACTGACAGTCTCAGCCTCCTAATTGATCTTACTCACCTCCAGTCTCTTCTCACAAGATTGCATCATATACAATGCATAATGCCAGATGAATTGGCCCAAACACTGCTTTCACTCTATTACTCAATAGTCTTTCATGGTTCACCTATGTCTACAAGACAAATTGAAATTCTTTAGTCAGAAATTCAAGAGGGCTTTTTTCAATCTTATTTTCCATTCTTCCCAAATACAAATTTATTTTCTTCCACTCATTTGATCTCCTCATTCTTTCTCCAAATAAAACTTGCACTTTCCTACCTCTGTACCTTTATTCTTCCTAGACTAGAATGCTTTACCTTTATGCCTCCCCACACTAGAATGCCTTCCTTTCCTTCTCCCACTGTCTTTTTTTCTACTTCGTTACCAAGGCCACTTCCTCTTTGAGACCTTCTCTGCAGAATCTCACCCAGTGAACTTTCTAGTCACTCCTATGGTTATTATATCTATAAGTCATTTGTCACTTTTATTGTCTTTTGCTATCTTTTTTTTTTTTTTTTCTTCTTCTTCTTCTTCTTCTTTGGGGAGAGATGTCTGTGACGGATCCTGGTGAGGGGTCTATCTTTTGCTATCTTATATAATAAAAGGGTAATATGCAAATTGATTGAATTGTGGAATGACCGGTAACTAGGATGCACACTGACCACCAGGGGCAGACGTTCAATGCAGGAACTGCCCCCTGGTGGTCAGTGTACTCCCACAGGGAGAGCGCTGCTCAGCCCAAAGCTGGGATGATGACTGGTGATTGCAGCAGAAGTGGTGGGAGTCGGACATTCCCCAAGGGCTCCCAGGCTGCGAAAGGGCACAGGCTGGCCTGAGGGACCCCCACACCAGAGTGCATGAATGTGGTGCACCGGGTCTTTAGTTATTTATACTATTATCATGTTAAATAGCAATTTAACTCTTGATGCATGTCTGTTTGGGTTCCCACCTGTAAACACCTTGATTTACTGTGATAGAAAGAAAAGAGCATAGGACGGAAAGTCAGAAGACCCAAGTTTGAGCCCTGGTTATGAAGTGGGACTCGTGTGTGTGACTGGGACGAGTCGCTCAGACTCTCTGAGCCACAATTTGATCATCTGTAAAATGAGGATCATGTCAGCTTTAAGTATTTCAAATTGTGGCCATCTCTGCAAATTTAGAGATTTAAGCAAATATAAGTAGTTGTTATTATATCATCTCATTTGCTTAATAAATGATGCTTAATAAATATTTGTTGAATGATTACATGTCAATAATTCAGTTTAATGTTTCTTCTCGGGTATATTCCCATGTTAAAGGGCCGCAGGAACCCTAAGTGCATCTTTAGTAACAGTGGGAGTAGGGAGGGCATTGTATTTGAAGAAAAGTAGGAACTGTTCAGGATCTCTCACATCCCACTACATGGCTATTCACTACTTGGTCCATCGGTAAGGCTAGATCTGAAGTGAAGAATAGGAGAAGGTGGTACACCTGAACTTTCACTTTCCCCACATTTTCTACTTTTTACTTATTTATTTTTTAAATATATTTTATTGATTTTTTTACAGAGACGAAGAGAGAGGGATAGAGAGTTGGAAATATCGATCAGCTGCCTCCTGCCCACCCCCTACTGGGGATGTGCCCGCAACCAAGGCACATGCCCCTGACGGGAATTGAACCCGGGACCCTTCAGTCCACAGACCGAAGCTCCACCACTGAGCCAAACCGGTTTCGGCACATTTTCTACTTTTTAATCCTACAATCCCTAACTACCATGTTTTCCCGAAAATAAGACCTACTTACAGGTTTCCTTCTGAGTGAAATATAAGGCATCCCCCCGAAAATAAGGACCCCCCTAGGCTAAACATGAGAGATTTGGTCCACTGATTCTGAAAGAAATGGAGTCACAAGAAATTCACCAGGAAATTCAGGAATTGGATTGTTATGATGATGTTCCAGAAGATGATGACATGATTGTCATTGAATAAATGAGTAAATTCTTGATACTATAGGATTCACAGTTTGTCTGATTTGTGTTGACAACTATCGTATTACCGTACCATATACAGGTAATAAATTTCCTTTATTTTCATTTAACAATAAATGTGTTCCGTATTCTTCTTCATGGAAAAATAAGACATCCCCTGAAAATAAGACCTAGCACATCTTTGGGAGCAAAAATTAATATAAGACACTGTCTTATTTTTGGGGAAACAGGGTAGTTAGGCTAAATGCTTCACCTGAGACTGTTCTCCTTCATTGATGGGATGAAAGCTAGCATTTTGGTGAAGGAAGTGATGAGTAGTAGAGATAATAAGCAATTGTAGTCAGACAACCAGACTTGGCTTTGAATCATTGATGTTCAGTTTCTTAATCTCTCTGGGATTCAGTTTTCTCATTGGTAAATTGGGGATAGTAATAGGTCTTTGGCAGGGCTGTTGTGAAGTGTTAATGGAATAATAAAATAAATAAACATTACTTATAGTGCCTGTGCATAGAAACCTCCTTTCACCAGTTCTCAACTTTAGTGTAGCTGGACAAGGAATCAGAATTCTAGATTTTGATTTGGTGCTGCTTAGTAGTGATAGTCAAGATCATGATAAAGAATGAACCCTTGAGTGTGAGAAGCTGAAGGCTAATAATTGATCACTGAGAGATGACCACAGTGATGGATAGGGAGGAGATAGCATTGTACCAAGGGATAAGAGAGTTTCAAAAAAGAAGGACTTATATAAGTTTTTTTTTTAATCTCTTTGAACAAAAGAAAAATATTAAGAAATCAAGCAAAGGGAATGGAGGAGGCAGGTGTTTGATATTTCTCTCTCTCCCTCTCCTTTTCACTCTCTAAAATAAATGAAAACATACTTAGAAAAAGAAAGCAAGCAACAATATCAAATGCCTAAAAGAATTTTGGGAGGATGAGACACTCAGAAAGATAATGAAAAATACTTGATTTCCTGCCAACCTGAATCTATACATACAAAGGATATTAGCCAATGGCATTATCTAAAGAGGCTAATCTCAACTTTTGTAACCAAGATCTGTTCACATGTGTTTATATTCCTCTTTCCCTTTGAGTTCCCTAGGTGCCTTTACCTCTTTCCATAGATGTAAGAATAACCCACTTGAATGGTGACTTGCTGAAACCTACAGAGCTAATATTCCCAGTATGAGCTGAGTTGTGGTTTGTCACTAAAAGAAAGTGCAACCAAAAACCGAGTCTGTCTATGAGGGCACTCTTATGTATTTGATTGCAAGAGCTTATGTATTTAGGTCACAAAGAACGAAGAAGACAAATTATTTCTCCTGAATTAAACTGTAAATTATTAAAATATGACAACTCTTCAAGAGAAGTAGAGAGATGAAATCTTTTCTGGGGCTGGCTGGTTATTACTGTAAAATTTGTACCACAATTTGAGGCCATACCCATACTCTTATATCTACAGTTGGAAAGAAGAAATCAAATGTACTTGGAAAACTCAAGAGAAAAATCAACTCATGCTCTCTCAGAAGACATCATGCTGCTGGCACCTGGTCAATTTGTGTATTTCATTAATATTTAACTCACTGCTCATTGTAAGCCTCATTCTCTTTACTACCAATAGTCCTTTACCTACAATGTTAATAAAACATTTCTTTTTACTCATTCAGACTTGCAAGATTCCTTTCCAGAAGATAGCAATGGTTCTTTGAGGATTTGATCTAAGTTTTTTGTCTTTATTTATAAGTTTTTTTTTGGTCTTTATTCATTTCTCTAATACACTCTCTCAAAACACACATTCCAGGATGGTAATTGGTATTACTAAGTTTTTAAAGGATTGGGTTAAGCAATAAGAAGAATTCTTTAGAGCACATGTGTCAAACACAAGGCCCGTGGGCCAAATCCGTCCCGCCAGGCCTTGCAATGTGGCCCACACCGCGCTGTCATCACTGCACTCCGCTGCGTTTCCATCACAATGACAGTTTATGACTGTTCAGTAAACCATTCGGCCCACGATTTAGGCTGGATTTTAGATTTTGGCCCCTTCTCTGATTGAGTTCGACACCCCTACTTTAGAGCCTTTAAC